TGCTAATATATTTAAAATCATTATACCATGTATGGTGTGTAGTTGTATATGTATATGTTGGCAGCCATGTTTGCATGTTTCCTATACATGTCATTGTGATTAATATATCTCTGAATATATCTCTGATGGACATGAAGACATAAGAAAACTAGGAGAGTAATAAGTAATCTAAGGACAGTATTACATAATGAAATGTTGTATTTTTATTCTGATAATTGTATCCTATTAGATAGGTGTACTTTTATAAGAAACCCAGTTATTTAGCCCTTCCTCTTCATGAGTTTTCTGAATATCTTTAAAAAAGAACTACGGGGTAAGTGTTTTCCCCCATAGTTCTCTTTAGGGTCACGGGAGTACATATACTAACCTCCTCCCGTGACCAAAAGCTCAGTATTGCCCATGATATACTGAGAGCGCCACAGCAAGGACAGATCCCAACAATACTGTTTGAGATCCACCCAGCTGTGTGAGTGACAGCTGGCTCTGCCTATCTAGAGGCAGAGCCAGCTGTGCCCACCCCCTCCCCAGTCTGTTCCTCCAGTCAGCGCTGGAGGATCAGAGAGGGGAGGGGGGAATCCCTGAGGGGAGCAGTGACTGACAGTCACCGATCTCTGCAGGGAGATGATCAGGAAGTGAGGGAACAACGGTATGTGTTAGCTCACTTCCCGATCAAGAGAGCCAACCTGTGACAGCTTAGGACAAACGTTTGGGGCCTAGTCTGCAGTGTTAATTTCTAATAATTTTTATCACAGATTTCGTCAACAACACTTTTTTAGTGACTAAAACTAAATAAAAACTAAGTTACGATGACTAAAACTATAACGAAAAAATATATTGACATTTTAGTCGACTAACTAAAACTAGACTACAATGTTAGGGAGAGACAATTTGGGAAGAGATCCAATCAGAACTTATCTCTTTGGACTTCCAGTTCTGGTTCCATCCTGAATGGACGACTAATAGGCAATATGTGCAATGGCATTACAGCCAATATAGTTTTTCATTCTAATACTTTATTTATTTTAGAGTTGCACTTCTGCTTGAAACAGTGTTTATATGCAGTTGTTTAAGTTCCAGGGTCCATCCTTCACTTGGGATACAAGCTTGGGATTGCTGTTAAGTTCATGATTGGTGTGCCTAGTACATGCAATGCTTTTGATGGCACCAGGGCATCCACTGAGTGTAAAACAACAACTCCTACCCAGGGCAGGCTGGGCCATGAGAATAAAGACAAGGTCTGCATCTCTAATTATATTTAAAGCTGAAGTTTAATCTGCTTATATTTTACCTTCTCTCAAGAGCCCCCAACCCTGATGCAAATAGTGGTCTGGCTCTTGGGAGGAGTTATGCTAAAAAAAAAAAAAGTGCCTTGATGGGTGGATGTCAATTTGGATGAGTGTTGAAAATGACTGCTGCACACCATACAGCGTTTTGACCAGCGTAGGTAAGATAGGTGCTCGTAGTGATCACCACGGATGGCACAGTGCAGAACCTCAGAGCTGTGAAGCACTTCAAAATGCAAAGGAATTGCGAATAACATCACATACGTCAAAATAGCCAATGTTTCATCTCGGTCGCCTTAAGAAAGGGACTCTGAGTGGTCCAGAAATGTTGGCTATTCTGACCTATGTTACGTTATTACCAATAAACAATATTTTTTGGCGACCTATCTTCACAAAGCTGGAGGAATGGGTGTTCCTAGACAACACCAGAGAAGACCCACAAGTGATGCCGAGCCTTTATGACTGAAGGAACGGGGGGAAAAGGGAAGGGAAAGGAGGACATAGCTGGTACAACTGGGCAAGACTGAAGGGAAGGCCGGAGTTTAGCTTTAAAAAATTGATGAAGAGGCTGGAAGGAGGGGGAACGTAATAGGGTTTCTCAGAAAAGTACACTTAGCCTAGATGTCCCATCAAAAATCAAAGCTGCTGGAACATATGCTTGTTTTCCAGTGCAGGAAAAGAGCATGATCAATCTAATCCCAGGAGAGGTAGGCACAGTGTTATGTGTCAAGCCTGAGTCCTATTAAGATTGTAGAGTTGAACATTTTGCATGATCCTGTAGCTCAAATGCTAGACTCTATGATGTGTGTCATCTGATAGTGTGCAGTTTCATCTCTTTTGAAGGAGAGAGTGGAAGATACTTTGCTCAACTTTCTTATATGTTTAGGGACCTTGCTTGGGATCTTAATTGGGAAGATTTCCCTGTCGTAACACCCTTTTATCCATGTAGTTCTATTCCCTCCGATGCATTCTCTGTACTCAACAATGAACTTAGTCAATCTAATTTATTAACTCTCTTTGCAACAATGACCAACTTTCAAAAGTTTTCTTTCCTAATACTAATATCTCCACCACCGTCTATTAAATTACCATTTCCTGTAAAATATTAGCCTGAGGGAAATGTGTGCAGTTGCAGCAGGTGGCTGTCTGAGTTTACTTTTCTCACACAGCAAAGCACAAACAAATAAGGAATGTGCTGCATTGGATCTGTTTGAGATGTTAAATAAGTAATCAGTAGCCACTGCAGTGCTGGTTTCAGATGGGTACTGCATGCCCTTTGCATTATTTAGAACAGCACATCAGTATCATAGGTGTACAAAGACTTTACTGTTATCTAATGAAAATTAAAGTGACACCAAACTTAGTTAAATCCTAAAAATACATTCAAGTACCTTAACTATTCACAGAAATTTATCTTATTTGTGTATCACTCGGCTGTGGTGACTACTTTACAACACCCACAAAGGGACCATGGGGAACACAAGTAGCCACCCTACAGAAGGAAGGACAGTGTCAGCACCAATTCAGAGATGAGTGGAGGATCTACAGCCGAGTGATACACAAATAAGATACATTTTTGAAAATAGTTAAGGTAATTGAATGCAATTTTTAAGATTTAACTCCTCCTGAGTTTAGTGTCACTTTAAGCGATGTGGTTTGCTAAAGCATACTAAATTCAGGGCTCTTAGGATGCTCAAGAGGATATCTAAAGGTTTCTTCAGGTATCCCTAATGGCCTGAGCTTTAGTTATGCATTTGGTTGAGAATTTTTAAAACTGCTGAGGTGTTCTTTTATTATATTTCAAATACTTTAGAAAGTAAAGTATATGAAATGCGTGAAGTAAACAAGAGGATTCAAATAACAGATGCCCATTAAGGTGCGGCAGAAAAATCTTTAACACTGCAAACAGTAATATTACCTGTATTGTTCCCTTATAGTATATCTTAACCCAAAACTTTTTTATTTTAGGTTTGAATTGAGTAGGGAATTCCATCTGTGCCCCATTGAGGAGAATTACTATACCTTCCTGTGCTATGCACGCAACAGAAACTGTCCAAAGTAAGGGAAATTACCTCTTGAACAGTTGTCACATGAACTAGTGTCCCCACTGGAAGATAACCCCTCTATTTCTGTTCTGGTGATGACTCAAAATTTTGTATTGGCCTGGAGCAACATGCGGTTGGGCCACACACAAGGAGCTCCAATAGACAATAACCCTGTAGCTTATCCTGCACTGACTTTGTAGGCTGAAACCTTCTTTTTCATGGCATGGACTTCTTTACTTCCATAAGCTTCCAAATGTCACCCCCCCTAAGTGAGTCCCGGACTTCCTTTCCAAGTCAGATAAATTGAGGATAAAGATGGTGGAGAAAAAGTCCTCTCAAAAGCCTGAGCAGACCGACACCGCAATGACCAGGGGTTATATGCCACCTCCCTCTGCCAGAGCATATTTATCATCAAAATAGAGGTTAAGGTAGGCATCTCATTCCTCCGCCAGAGCTTCTGAAGCTCCAGGAGAGAATCACCGTGGTGGCCTAGAGGATCAACTCCAGCCATTACTGCGGATCTCTAAACAACACCAAGCGCAACTGCAGGCTATCATGCAACAGCAAATCAACTAGTAAAGCAGACTACAGAGAAGCAACCTCAGGTTTGTGGGGCTCCCGGAGAAAGTGGAGGGGTTTATTCCTATCACTTTCTCAAAAGAAAAAAAGCTAATTAACCACTTTGGGCGAGAAACATTTTCATCCCCTTTTGTAGTGGAAAGAGCCCACCACCATTCAGAGTTCCCCCCAGGAAATTCACAGAATATTAAACTTTTGGATGGAGATGATATTTACCTTCTCATACAGGGAAAAGGGCAGCATCCCATTTCAGAACGCCTCAACTGCGGTACAATCACATTTCTCCACAGAACTACAAAACTTTGGAATTTCCCATCAATTTCAGTATGTTCACTAGAACATACTGAGATGGTGACTCTACCCTTGTGAACCCTTCCCTACAGTTTTATCTTTATATACACTTTAAGCACGCATATGCATACGCACATCTATACCTCTGTACAGGCTAACTGCAGCAAAAAAGGTAAATACTATTTAAACAATGAATTATTTCAGTAGTTGTAGTTCCAGTTGTAGTTCCATTTCCACATTTAGCAATTTCCATTTAATTTCAGTCCCAGTGAAAATGGTCACTAAAACATATTGAGAGGGTTAATCTCTCCAGTGGGAACACATATGGGCATAAAAGTCTGACAAGGATTGCTAAGCCTTCCCTACTTTAAAGTTTTGGCTTTATATACACTTTAAGCATGCATATGCTCTTAAAGTATCCGTTTTGCACAATTGGCAACATCTCTGTACAGTCTAAATGCAACAAAACAGGTAAATACTACTATTTAAACAATGAATTACTTTCACTGTCCTGCATCAGAATATTACATTCTCTTATAAAGGTAGGGGTTACCCTTTAAAAATATATACAATTGATTGTTCAAAATGGCGGGCATTTCATTTTGGTATGTTAGCTACGTTTGGCATTTCTGATGATAAATTCAGTAGGTTAATTCTGTCCTCGGGAGGGTTTGCATAATGATTTGACGTTTCGTGTTTGAGAAAAGGTTAAAGATGGATACAGTTCCTCTGAGGCTCCCATTACAGAGCTTCGCTCAAGCGTGAGTTATGCCAGTTGACATTACAGAAAAGTTGAACTTACATTCTGTTTGCCGACAATGTTATCAAACGGGAGTTCCGGGCTCCAGGACCCCTCGGTGAACGTGGCCCCGCTGTTCCTCCGGTCCGTCGCGCTCACCGACTCCTTCACGATGTCTTCCGGCAGGGTTAACAGGTTCTCCTCGGGTTGTTTGATCAAGTAGGTTTCAATGTTATGTTTCCGTAAAAACTCGTTCCTTTCTTTGCCGTGGCCTTCTTCCACGTTGTAATCTCCATTAAGGCAATCGAGAGAAGCTTTTGATATGTGAATTCTCCTGTAAAGGAAAAAAGATACATTTCAGACACCATAGCTTGCATGGTTGCTCCTAATGTCAGAGGCCAGCCCACTGTTATTTAGAAGTACTTATTTATTGGGGAAAAGAAAATAATCCTGATGAATGGAAGTACAGTTCTAAAACAATCTAGCTGACTTTTTGTAGAGTAGTATGTCCATTCATCAATAATGCTATATTCAAGAGAGGGTGGACGGGAGTGCTGCCATGCGCCAGCGTTTCCTTTTGGCTGCAGAGGATTTAACAAGTTGAGATGGTACACTTTCTATCTTTTCGTTTATCTACTGGGGGACTGGTATTACCATATATGAAACCAAAATGTAGACATTTTCCAGCCAAGTAGAAAAAAATTACTCACTAATAAGTACCGATGACATTCACCAATAGCAGTCAGAAATGGGCATTCGTAATAGATATCCCCCCTGTTATCGTATATGAAGTGTGGGTACCTAGAGGTGCACCTTTAGCAGCTTTCATTGACCCCACACTTCCTGCATGCTGGGCCATTCTAATGAAGGAAAATTTACATAATTCCTGGAAGTGTCAACCTTGACTGCCCCTTCTGTCCTATTGGCTAGTGAGGCAGCCCATCATAGTGATGGATCAATAGGAATATATGGCAGGGGTGAGAGGCAGCAGGCAAAATATCATCCTACCACATCACCAAAACTTTGCTCATTCAGGTCCTACAAAATGCATATATTACAAATCAGATATCCACATAATTCGAGATATCCACATGCCATTACCATTCTCAAAGTGAGTTTGTCACTTTAACTACAAAAAAAAGCTGTTGACAGGTTTAAAGGGAGGTACCTAGAGCTACCTTCACATATCTGTAACAACCTTTACTGCCCCCACACATGGCATGAACGCCGTCCGTTCTAATTAAACAAAGCTTTAGCACTATCTGGCAGTACTAAAGCTTACTTGCCCCCCACCCATCTCCTATACATTTTTTTGGGCCAGTTATGCAGCCCATCATAGTGATTGGCCAATAGGAACATATGGGGCATGGGAGGGAGCAGGTGAGCTTTGACACTATCGAGGCTTTCACAATTGGTTCCCTGAAAAACCATATCTTACCCTGGGATTCCTCCTGACTCCAGTTTGTTGGCGATATCCACATCCCACGACCACACGTCAAACTGCCACTTCCTTAGCCCCAGCACTCCACACAGCACTGAGCCAGAATGTATTCCAATCCGCATGTCAATGTCATGTTTGGTCCGTGATCTCACATACCTGCATGTTAAAAGTAAACATTACTGTGTGACCTATTTGTACACCATTTTGTCCTTGGAAAATATTAGTTTTATCATTTTCACTCATTCATAAAGTTGCGCAAGTTATTGCATTTACCAATTTTTCTTAAATTACAGCAAATTAAGCCTGCAAATTTTGGAGACAGATTTTACCAGTTTATTAAGGCGGCTTAAAACATAAAATAAAAAAATGTCACGTTAATGCTATTGACATACTGCAGGATATGTCATTTTTACTTTGCCTTTAATACCAATTCAAAATATTGCTAGTTCCTGCATGGCATTAATTGTGTGGCGCTATGAGGTGGGTAAAAATTGGAGCCATTTGGAGTACAAATAAATACTGTTTTAATGAAAAGAAAAATACAGATTCATGAAAAATAAAGGATTGCAATACAAAGTTAAACAATACAAAGTTAGACTCCAGGCAAAAAGTTAGAAAATTGAAATAAAATATGTAAACAGACTTGCTATTTTGATCAACCATTCTTGTGGTCCAATCCCTCTTGCCAGACAGCACACCAGGCCTTGGATCTCCTGGAGGTCTAGACTGCAAACAAGCACAATAACCTCAATGCAGTGTGCAGGAAATAAATGTACAATTACCTAATGGTCTTGATCATGCTGAGTCCCATTTCCACACAGCAGTGAGCATGGTCTTGTCGAGGTTCGGGAAGGCCAGACACACAATAATAGCAGTCACCTAGGATCTTAATTCTAAGGCAGTGATGTTCCTACAAATGAACAGAAACACAGGATGACTCAACAGTGTGAAAACAAGTTCAGTGAACAGATTTGGTAAATTGCATAGAAAAGGTCTCCATAGACTATAGAAGCTCTTGGCCTGATTTTGGTAATTTCCATGAAGCTGGAGTTGCACCAGCTGAGAACTATTGTTTACTTTTTCCAAAAGTATACCTCAGAAGTCTCCCAGCACCATCATGACATGTCTCATGGGCTTTTCTCATAGCTCCAGCTGCAGCCACCCAAGTCTTGTACTTTTTTCTACTAGATCTATATACTATATAAATCTACAGCAGAGGAGGTTACATTTTTACAACCTGTTATCCGAGACTCTCAAATAGGCTGGACAAGTGTAGCTACAGAGATCTCAGACTACAGGAAGAGGGCATTATTAGCAAGCAATGCAGGAGTAGGAAAAGGTGATTATAACAACTGGGCCCCTGGTATTTATTACTCCTAGAAAACAAAAAGGTTGGGGCGAAAAGACATATTTATGGCACCACTGCTGCTTAAGATACTTATATTAAAGGAGAAGTTATCCAAGAACAAAAATCCAATATATTACAGTATGCTAGTCCTCAGATAAGCATAGAAAATACCTGTTTATCTTGTCAAAAAATGCCTTATCACTTATTGTGCCGCCCCAACAGGGGCATAGAATATGAGATGCATAGCCTCAGTTAATATTAGCATTGTTATATAGGTTAGAATTTATATAGTGTGATTTGCCTAACTATTTTCTCATAGCTAAATTCATTTGTTATCCTATGCTGCCATCTAGTGGCCTTTTGCTGTAACAAACATGCTTTCTGTAATTATTCCTCATGTGACGATGTATTTCCCCTAGTGTATGTAGCCCCACCCTTCTTCCTGTGTGCAGTACTTCCTGTGTCATGGAAAAGCCAGCAGCCACATGTAACAGGACACATATAATCTGCACAGTACGGAGGAAAGGCATCATTTTCTGACCGCACAATACTATCACCGTTCATCTGCTGTTCCTATCATCTGCTGTAAAGAATAAACACCTCTTTTGAATGAATCGGTATTGACGAGTTCAGCTATCTGACGAGGATTGTCCGCAGTGAGTATATCTGCTTATACAGGCCAGGCATAGAGGTCTCAGCAAGGGATATATTTTGCTATCACAACGATCGGAGTCAGAATACTTATTGTGAGCTGAACTAGAAGTGTTATCTTCGTTCTGTAAAGGCAGACATTATTGAATCTGAGCCCTGATGGCAACTATGGCTTCCTACGTAGCGGAGAGCTCATCAACCCAGGGACTGAGAGAGTGTTTTATTCAAACAATTACCGGGTGAAAATAAAAACGACTGTAGCCAACTCATCTAAGGACTGGTAGATGGCAACATATTACATTGTTACTTCTGGATTTAGATACACTTTAATTGCACAGTGGTTTAAGTGGTTAGAACTCTTGCAGGGTTGGGGTCATGAAGTCACCAAAGTCACATCTGCATGGGTCTCCCAGAATCATATTGCACAGGTGCACCAGACACACATCTGCATGGGTCCACCAGCATCAAATCGCATAGCCCCATCTGCATGGATCAACCAGAGACACATCTGCATGGGCCCAGTAGACACCCCTGCATGGTTCCACCAAAGACACATCTACATGGGTGCACCAGAAACACATCTGCATGGGTCCACCAGAGAATCACATCTTCATGGGTCGACCAGAATCAAATCGCATGGGTCCACCAGAGACACACCTGCATTGATGCACCAGAGACACATCTACATGGGTCCACCAGAGAAACATCTGCATAAGTCTAACAGAAAAACACATCTTCATGGGTCGACTAGAATCAAATGGCATGGGTCCACTAGAGACACATCTGCATGGATTATCTCCAAAGTGAGTTTGCTTTAGATTCTGGTAGGTTGACTACTATCTGGCCAAACTGGCCTTAGGTTGGGTGCATGTATGAGCATGTTGTAATGTGTTAGCCTCTTTGGTACTAAAACTGGTAATATGCAAAGAGCCCTTTATGATCCTACAGAGTTTGCAATGAGTAATTGCAATGTAGACTCCTTTTGAGGATAGTACACTGGAAAAAAAATAAACTAAAATACTATTTAAACATTGATGGCTATACAGGCAGAACGAAAGAGACTGAGATGGATATACAAACAATTAGACAGACAGATAGTATAGAAGTTGTGTTGGAGGTGCTTTGTAGAAGTAGGGACTAGGGCTGCAGCTAACAATTATTTTCATAATCGATTAGTTAGCCGATTATTAAGTTCGATTAATCGGATAAAAAATTTTTAGCCGACGAATCGACGATGGAAAACGTTGGCAACGTTTTCCATCGTCGATTTTAATCGACTTAATCGAATAATTGTTGCAGCTCTAGTAGGGACGATGACGCATATCTGGTGGTCGTGTAAGATGATAAGATCTTATTGGAAATCAATCTTGGATATAGCACAAGAGCTAACGGGACTCCAAGGCCTGGAGACACCTGAGGTGGCTCTGCTGTCTCTACACCATGGTTTGACTGATGCAAGGAAAACAGGCCTATTGGGCCCGATCTTTGCAGCTGCAAGGGCAGTAATACCCAGACATTGGAAGTCAACCTGCTCTCCCCAGATATCGGAATGGGTGGAAGAACTAAATAACGTAATGCGATCTGAAGAGCTCATAGCCCGTTTATATAATAGACACACGCTATTTGGGGAGAGGTGGAGCCCATGGAGGGATTACATGAGTTCACAAGAGATTTTTAGATTTTTATAGGGGTAAAATCAGAATAAGCCTAATGTTGGATTATTTTATCCTGATTTGATATCTGTTCTAACTTGACGTGCAGTGGCGTAACAACCGGGGTGACAATGATGGCATGCTTGGACTTGTAGTTCCTTAGCTGATAAATATGTGTGGGGGTGGGGGTACAGTTCTAGTGGATGTTTATATAATATGGGGGGGGGGGCTAAAAAAATGTTCTGCCCCGGGCGCCCATAACTCCGGTTACGCCACTGTTGACGTGCCTTCTCTTCCCTTTGTTCTTTTCGCTTCCTCCCTAGCAATTAATTATACCTACAACACCCCTGATACCCTTGATTGTGTGGGAATGTCTGTTTTGGGGGGGGGAGGAAGAAAGGTGTTAGGGTCTTAGTGTTGTATGTCACTTATTTGTTTTAAGGGAGTAGGAATATGGAGGGAACTACACAAAATAATTGAGATGATTCCTACTTAGATGTTATGTTAAGTGTGTAGGAATGAATTATGTTTGTTATTTGTATTTGTATGATATGTGAAATTTGAAAACTCAATAAATAAATATTTGAAACAAATAAAACTGGTAATATGCAAAGAGCCCTTTATGATCCTACAGAGTTTGCAATGAGTAATTGCAATGTAGACTCCTTTTGAGGATAGTACACTGGAAAAAAAATAAACTAAAATACTATTTAAACATTGATGGCTATACAGGCAGAACGAAAGAGACTGAGATGGATATACAAACAATTACACAGACAGATATTATAGAAATCAGCACTGCCTTCATAAATCAGAAGAAATTGGCCTGTCATCAATTCCATCATAAATCCAAAAACAACTGGTTTATCTTAGGTAGAGGCAGAGCCAAGAAAAATGTCCCAGTGGCCAGCTGTGCACCCAAAACCCCTGCTTTACAGATACTGATGTGGTTTTCATACATAGATTTTATAAGTCCGAAAGAACCGTATGCAGGTTGAACAAATGGCTTTGTGTTTTAGACTGTATCTGTGCTAAAGCTTCTGGGTGCACATTTGGCCAAAACAGACAGAAATTCTGATCAAATCACATCACTCAACCTTGAAGCTGCCACACAAATTGCACACATTTCTTTTCAGCTCAATATTATGGAGCAACAAACAAACTCAGGCTGCAGATGTACAATACAAATAAGATTTATAGATATTCCTGATTTATAAGATAGTGGGAAAGAGGACCATATTCAGTATGAAAAGGATTCAATCTCATTGATATAGGTAGGTAAGTAGATAGATAGATAGACACCACATCAAGCAATATTTGTTATCTCTAAAGCACAATTGCAATGAGTATATTGAAGGAGATAATGCTATAGCAGACCCCCACCCCCTCCTCCTGTGACTGCACGTCCATTCAGTGACACTCCGCTTCTTGGGGACTCTCTATCGTGCAAAAACCTACTAGATCTCATGGTTAAGGATTGTGACCTGCTCCCTCCTACAACTCTCTATTGCCCAGTGAGGTCCTCCATCTCAGTGATGTTCCAACATTGTTGTTGCAGAGGCACGAAGGTGCATATGTAGCTCTTTTGAGGTGGTCTATATTGCATAATAGAAGTCCCTGGCCTTCAGGTACACTGGGGCTCCCTAGAGCATAGAAAAGCCAATTTGAAGGATGGTGGCTGCCTTCCTTGCCAGGTTCTAGAGCATGGAAGTTGTCACATTACTAGGCTCATATAGATTATGAGCCAACATTATTTTAAATTATATGTTGGATAGAGTTGTTAATGATTATGACCTCTTTCAGCTTTTATTGATTGTTTGTGTCCCATCGGGGAGGTTTCCATGCACTTCCTGTCCCTTAGACACAGCAGGAAGTAGAAGGAAATCTGTCCAAAGAAAGGGATTAGCTCTGTTTAGACATTTGTGACCAGAACAGCTAGCTTTACCCATTGGATGCTTTTTCCTTTTGGAATTCCCATCACTTTCTTTACCTAGTCACAAGGACCACAGGAGAGGTAGTAGTGTGTTGTCATGCATTGTGCTTCTAGACATGTTATGATGTGTTGGCAGCCCGTTTATTCTAAATGCAACGCATATTAACGTACAACATAGCACTCATTAACCCACCGCAATGCAGTAAACGGGCCCTTAAACAATGTCATTATACTATCTCTTAAGGCCTGGCTAGTAGCTCAGGACTTGAAATTTTGAGCCCTGCTATACTGTATAGTGTGGTGTTTATTAAACCAATATTTACCAA